TCTACTCTGCGCTGGTGAGGCCTCACCTGGAGTGCTGTGTCCAGTCCTGGGCTCCTCAGCTCAAGAAGGACAAGGAGCTACTGGAGAGGGTCCAGCGCAGGGCCACTGCGATGATGAAGGGCCTGGAGCACCTTCCAGATGAGGAAAGGCTGAGAGAGCTGGGTCTGTTCAGCTGGAGAAGAGGAGGCTGGGGGGGGGATCTTGTCAATGCTTATCAGTATCTAAAGGGTGGGTGTCAGGAGTATGGGGTCAGGCTCTTCTCAGTGGTGTCCAGTAACAGGACTAGGGGCAATAGCCATGAACTGGGAAACAGAAGGTTCAGCCTGACCATGAGGAAACCCTTCTTCCCTGTGAGGGTGACAGAGCATGGAACAGGCTGCCCGGAGAGATGGGGGAGTCTCCTTCCCTGGAGACTTTCCAAAGCCGCCTGGACTTGTTCCTGTGTGATCTGCTCTAGGGGATCCTGCTCTGGCAGGGGGGTTGGGCCAGGTGATCTCTAGGGGTCCCTTCCGACCCCTGACACTCTGTGAGTCTGTGAATCTGTGTGTGAATCATACATTCACAATAACAGCATGCAGGTTAATAACAGATCATCTTCTATTTTGCAACTAGCTGTAGGAAGATATACTTCTCTTCAATCCCAATGTATGTGAAACTCTAAGTCCTGTCCAGGCAAGCACTCTGACCTAATACGCCAGGTCGGGTTGCTGCTTCAATTTGCTGTAGTAAATAGTATTAATTTCTTTTCCTTTTCAAAAGGCTAGTTTTATATTTTCCTTGTATTACAGAACACAGAAAGTTTACACCATACCTCTAACAGTACTGGGCTGCTGTTGTTAAAACAATAAACGAACTACTACCAAAAAACCCCCCCAAAAATCCCCAAAAAACCCATTTAATATGAATGTTAAGATAACCTAAGTAGTTCTGAAAACGTGAGGCCTTCTTCCAACAGTTTGTGAGCTGTATAAAAGCTACACTGCTTCCACTATGTCATTAATATGTTTGTATGAGGTTATCAGAATAATAGAATATACCCACAATTCATTTAACACGCTGCCAAATTCACCAACTATTTAAGTCCTGTCGTTACACAGCTGGAGATTGTGATTTTAACACTCCCACTGACCTTAGGAGACAAAAGTTTGAGAACACATTATTATTAACCTGCATGCTGTGATTAAAACCACAGAATATAAAACATCGTAATATTGTAAGACTTAAGAATAATTAGGTTTACAGCTGAAGTAAAATTAACATTTTGGTTCTTAGTGGTTTCAGAGAACAATTACAGTATACTCTGTAATTAGAAGTTCAGCTAACAGTAAATGATCTGGTCAATCATCAGTCCTACCCAAAAATCAAAGTCTATATATGCTACTTGCAATAAGTAAGTACAGGAATTTGGGTATTTTTGCAGGTTTGTTTGTTGGTTTGGGTTTTTGTTTTGTTTTTTAAGGATAACATTTTTCTTTTCCTATTGACTAACTTTTGGGGTAGTGTTCCTCAGGTTTTAATAATGCATCTTCAAGAACTCCTTCCTGCCATCACACCACATCTTCAGGTTTTTGTCTTGCATGCCGTATGAAAAACATATGTTTTAAATTACAGCTGTAAATTACTGTGCAAGTTTACCACAACGTAGCATTTACGTATACATATAGTTAGAGGAAAACTGCATAATCTCACGTGAAGCGTCGCTCGTGTTCAGTAACAATATTGGGCCTGAAGCTGAGCACAGTGACTGCCAAAGGGAATTCACACTGGTAGCTCAAATTCCAGTAGGCTAAACCACTGGGGCAGCAACGCTGCTGCAAGGCAGCTTGCAGAGCCTCATTCTTTTTAGGAGAGAAATAGTGGGTTTATGTCTGAACAACAGCTAGCATTATCTCATTTCTTCCAGTCCCATCACAAAGCTGGCACATCCCTCAGTGGAACCGACTTCTACCAAGTCACAATGCAGCATTTTTGACAGAGGGGACAGAAGAACCTAACAGAACCTAACACGGAGATTGTGGAATCAAGTCCCTACACCGAAATTTTTTTCCAGCTCAAAGACTTCACACATACTACATGCATAGTTGCTCCCCATCCATCCTACAGGGCCTCAAATCTCAGCAACTCCTGATGGTCAGAGAATGATACCCACAAAACCACTCGTAGTTGTTAAAAAGAAATCCTTCATCCAGCAAATAAAGACCGGGCACAGAACAGCAACCAACGCAGTTAGGTAAACACTGCATTCCTTTCACTACAAGCCTTTCCAGCACTGCTTTGTCAGCCGTATTTCATGAACTTCCCACTTAAACACCGTGCAGAGGCGGCAGGTTTTTTCCAGAAACAGAGGTGGCGATTTTTTTCCTGCTGCTTCAGTTGCACCAAAAAGGGGCACAGGAAGAGTACTGAGAATATGCTAATAAATTATATTTCTACTCTCTTCATGCTGTGAAAGGTCTGAAAGAAAATGAGGTATTTATGTAATCTCGATTTTTTCATACAAGGTATAAAGGTTCAGAGATAGGTGCACCATTCTTATAGTTGTGTGTCAAAGTTAAATTTAAGTCAGTTTTGAACTTTTCAAATGCAGCTGAAATGGCAGAAGATATCAGAACATAAGCTCCCAATGCTTGTTGAATTTTACAATAGTTTGATGATAAATATTTATGCAGTAGGAAAGTTTCCCAATCACTTTTTTTCAGAATATCCTTCAGGCCATGCAAACATTATTATTCATTTGTGAAGAAATAATCATACTTGACCACATCTTCCTCACATTATGTATTCCATCAAAGATGCCCTGAATCTGGTGGTTGTGCTTTAACCTCGGCTAGTGATTAAGTACCACACAAGAAGAGTTCTCTGGTTTTCATACTGAAAACTCCATTCCTCCCCACCATGAAAGATCCGTTCATAAACTGATTTCTGCAGGAAACTATACCAAAATCTGACGCAATAAACAAGTGGGCAAAAGAAAACAATGACTGTTCCGAGCAATTCCTTGCTCTCATGCTGTTTCTCTCAGCAGAGAGCCTCCAACTTCACGCACAAAAGGGCTGTGACGGACACAAAAAAGCACGTCACCTACAGAGACCAGAATTTTGGGGTCACTTGAGCTGCATCTGCTTACATCAGCAATAAACTCTTTAAATACAGCTGAAAGCTCACTTACTAAACCAAACAACTTGAAGCACAGTCAATATATTCGACAACACTGTCCAGGACATGAGAATTGACAGCTTCTCAGACACGCTCGCGGCTTCAACGTGAGTTTTACCTGCAGAAAAGTGGAAAGTACGACTTTGTTGGTAGAAGCAGAGGTTATACGTGTTCCACAAAAACATACTCGAGTCAAAGGATTCCGTAACGGAAGGGCAGAACCATTTTACAAAGACATTAATGATGCATTCAGTTTTAAAGGTGACTTCACCCCCTGAACTCTAACTTTGCAAACCCTGACAGAAGTTTGACCATCAGGACTGTTGGCACTTTGATACTTACTGACAGAGGCACCGCGGCAAGAGAACACCTTTGACTCTTGTCCAAACCATTAACAAAAGGCATTGCCACACAGCCACGAAGCTGCCTGAGGACTGATGTTTTCACAGAGAGATCCAGGATGTGTATTCCAGAGCCTCCTCACCGGCAGTCTGAAATTTAGTAAACCAACTCCCGATTCCAAGTGAGTTGTAAGCCAGTTTTGTTTGTTTTCACTCACCTAACAACTGAACAGCTTACTATTTCTAAATGTATGGAAGCAGGACATTTTGGCAGACTCACCTGTGGTCTGGTCACCTACAGCCAAATTAAAGTACAAGACCTGCATCAGTTTTCTCTTACACGTGTATGCAAGACTGTCAGGAAAAAGACAATTATGTTCCTAGGAGAGGGACGTTGTGGGATGCCCTGCTACAATATCATTGGGTCAGTTTATCCATCTCAAAAAGGAGGTGAGGGAATACTGGTGAGATTTTAAATACAATTTCAGAACTGTTTCGGTCAAGCAATAGTTGGAGGTCTGAATTAGGCTTGAATTAAGACCTTTAGTAAACTCATCTTTGTCCTTCCTTTTTTTGTTACCAAAACACTTCAGTGAAGGGACATTTGAGCACGGCTGTTTTCTCACGGTACCGTTTATGCACTTCCTAACTCCCTCATAATTAAGGTACCATATTCCATTCAGCACCAGCTAAACAAAGTTCTGAAGAACAGCCGCAGGGGGGAGGTAGATGCCCACAACTTGAAAGGAGCGGCAGGCAGGATGTACTCCCACATTTGACCGTGATTTCCTGACAGTGCACGTGGATTACCCAAATGTACATCACTCCCTTGGACCGGTAAATTAAACTGAGGTGGGGTGGGAGGGGAAAAGGAGGGCAAATGCAAATACTATCCCCAAGTTATAAAAGTCTTCACAAAATTGCAGTGAAATTCCCATTGGAGCAATACCACAAATCCTTCTGGAATGTGAAACTGTGCAGATCTGAGTTCCAAGAGAAGTAAGGGAGATCCCTGGGGAGGCAGGCAGCAGAGTGTGAGTGTTCACGAGCTCTGCTTTAACCCAGAGCCATAATCCTACGAGCAGTGTAGTCCGCTGGCTTACAAGCAGTCGCGTACAACTGAAACCAGAGCAGAGCTCCGTCAGTGCATTACACACCCCCCGCTGAAATTCCAGACCTTTCAGTTTAGTGTCAATCCCACCTGGCTCCAGCTAGCAGAGAATCCTTCCTTCCTGCAAAGCAGCGGGTACGTGCTTAACAAACACGTTCAGGGGAAGGGGATTTTTAAATGCGGTGCCACCTCACCACAGCAGCTGGCCTTGACAGAGTTTACTCGGAGACTGTCCGAGTGTGCCAGGCTGGGCACACCTGCACTTCCCAACAGCCTCTGCCCTTTGGCACACAGGCCCTGGACACTCACGGAATTGACAGTGGTTTGACCAGGAACACAGCGACACAAAGCTGGGCAGGCGTTTGTGCAGGGTGGCACTGTCACGCTCTCACACTCTGCGAGCCCCAGTCAGTGACACCGGGGTCTAAACTAGTGCTTGGCACAAAGACAAGAGATTCAGCTTGCCAGCCGTAGTCCCCAGCTGAAGCCACGTGAAGGTGATTTCTTGAGGTTGTCCAGGCGTACACAGGTTGAAGGGCTGTCAACTTTCTTCTCCTCCTGTCTACTGCCTCCAGAGCAAAGGAAACAACACCTGCTACTCCCAAGTGCTTCTGCTCTATAGGAAGCTGCAATGAACAGTTCAGAGGACGGCAAACAAGTCTTCCTAACAGGAAGCATAGGTGTTTTTAAGAAAAAACACAACCTGAGAAAAACTTCACTTTATTTAGCTTTATTCATAAAACAGAGTTAAGAGACTGCTATGACATTTAGAACATGATGTCAGAGAGAATTCCAAAGCAGCAATGAACCCGGATAAAAAAACTAAAACCACACAGAGAAAGAACAGTCCCTGCCCTGGGAGCCAGCTGGGCCAGAAGAACAGGACGGAAGTAGCTCATCACCTGCCCAGAAAAAAACAGTTAAAGGCATCAGTCAGTACAGCTGCCACCTTAAACACTTCCAGCTTCCTGAGAAGGAATTCACAGCAGGTTGTTCCAGAGGAAGAGCCAGGGCTGACGTGTTTTCTACAGTCAGGCGGTCAGGGCACAGATGGGATAAAAGTGCTCACGTTTACACTCCCTGGGTTTGCAAAGCCCTGTGCGTGCTGCCGTCACGTAGAGGGCAAGCTACGTGCCTGCTGCGCTGCCTGAAGGCAGCGCAGGGGAGGTGTACGTTAAAATACTGCCACCAGCAGTGGCACAGCTAACCGCGGATGCCAGTAGTGCATTTCAAACCCTGACCTCAGCATGTGACGTCCTATTGTGCACAACCAGCCAAACACATATTCCAGTACTTTGGACAGCAAACTGTCATCCTTCCTGTGGGTCGGTCTGTCAGCAACCACCTACAAGGCGAGGAAGAGAGAAAACAAAGAGACTCAGTCAACATACAGCTAATTCTTTTGATACTACCCCGTTTTATCATCTTCTTGCCCTAAGTGCCACTATTACTTTGACCCAATAGGGTTGAAAGATTTTCAAAACAAGTCCTAGGCTTCCAGAAAAGTGGCAAGTCGTTCATGTGGTCTTTGTTATTAGTATTATTTTAGATACCAATCAGACTGGAGTTTGTACTGGAACCACGGCCCCGAAGAAGTGACAGGAGAAGATCAAGGCTGAGCTCACACTCCAGTTAACGTGTGTACCGCCTCATAAATCAACCGAGGGGAGACAGCACAAAGCAGCACACGTTCCCGTTCCCTTCAAATACCTGACAGTCACTTTGGAGAGCTTTATGTGCCACTCCAAGAGGTCTCACTGCAGACAACCTCAAAGCGTCATTTGCGGGTTGCACTGGTGAAATATGCAGGCATCGAGGATGTAGAGCTTTGTTCCAAGTTCTCCATCATACTCTTAAAGAGAGGGTTAATACGAGGTAAATAAAGGTTGAAATACTGCGTTTTACCATTTATTCTCTAGAATTGGTTGATAAAATATGTTCACGTATCAGAGGAAGGAAAGACAACCCGATTTGCTGCACTAGACTCAGTGGAGCACAGCATTCAACCAGCCTAAAGACAGCGGAATCTCAGAAGCACGGCTGGCAGGAGACAGCTAACCAAAATACAGGCTAGGACTGGTGTCTGGTGTGGCTGGCAGCTGACTCTGCAGCACCGAGGGGAACCCAGGGAACTAGCTGCTGCTTTTGAATCAGAAGCCTGAGCACCGACCTCAAATCCCTCACGCCTCGCTTTCAGTGGCAAGAAAGTGTGTCACAGGACAGTGCCAAACCCTCAGCGGATTGGCCTCCAGAAACCTCTCTTGCCTCCAAAAGTACAGGTGATGATTAGGGGCTGCTTCAGTGGTATTTGAAGGCGGACCCTCTCCACAAAGGACATAATTAGGATTCAAAAGCAAAGATCAGATGCCTGACAATGACATGTCTCGGATCATTGCTTCCAGAGTGTCAGCTTCAGTCACTGATAACACACCGGACACCAGAAGAGTAACTCAGGGAAGGACAGACTGGAAGCCCTACCAGCAGAAGCCCTCCCAGGAAAGGGGCACTGAAGTACATTTGGTTCTGAATTTGAATCAGCATATAATACATAACAGCATAGAATTCTGTGCACTGTAACTTCCAAGGAGCACAGAGATTTCCCATAAGGATCCTTCTCAG